CGAGTCGCGGCGGAGAAAAGGTCAGGCGATGACACGTTGCGGCCGAACCGGGAGTGTGCGACGCCGGCGCGCGACGCACGCGCGCATCGTAGCAGACGCACGCTGCAGCGAAGTCGCGCGCCCTGTTACAGCGACTTTTTGAGAGAGCGAGAGCGCGCGCGTTCGAGAGATCGGTTACTACGACAGATTTCGCCAGAAACACGAGAAAAGGGACAATTACGTAGGAATGGACGTGCATATTTATAGCAGGCGATAATTTCTGTAGGCGTGTTCCGGTTAGACCGCGAAGCGAAGGAGAGGAGAGACGTACGTGTGCAAACGTAAACAGACCATATATTTTTTGTGATGGCGTTCGACGTTCTCGGCGCGGAGCATTGTGCAACGAAGACGGTATCTCGACAGATGGCGGCATTAACCTTATATAATCATATAAAGATTAGATAAACAATTATGTGCGCGTTCGGGCATGACTGCAGGTATCAAGTATTGCTCGATTCACGCACAACTAGATGGGCGAAACCTTCGGCGGATATTATCAGCGATGTATATATCGTGTTGGGAATTTACCGCGTAAGTGCTGCATGAGTTGGACTAGTTCGTCCCGATCTGTGGAGCGGCACTGCCTTCAGAAAGGTGGTTGCAGAATCCGGCAGTTTCGCTAAACGAGAGGAACTGGCACACAAGACGACTGCATCGCGATTTCTGTTGGCAAATATTGAAGCCGTAATTGTGCGTCTACTAATACACTGTTCTTGGCGCACAGCTGCTAACTGCTCTGCTGCGCGCTTGTTGTTGTTGTTGTTGTTGTTGCTGTTGTTGTGCTGCTTGCCGCGGTTGTTGTTGTTGTTGTTTGTTGTGTTGTTGTTGCTGCTGTTGCTGTTGCTGTTGTTGTTGTTGTGTTGTTGTTTGCTGCTGCTGCTTGCTTACTTACTCTGACGTGCTGTGCTGGCTATGCTGGTGCTGTTGCTGTACTGCTGACGCTTTTTGATTTGGGGAGTTGTCGCAGGGGCGTAAGCATGCGCGCAGGCGTTAACTTTATTTATCGCATTAAAATTAGCGCGTGAGAATCTTTTATTTATGCTGCTCGATCGGGCCCATCGTTGTTGAATTAATGAGGAATGTTTTGTTGCTCTCAGTTTAAATATTGCTCGGATGCTGAACGATTTCCAGCTTTTTACTAAAACGATATCTGGAATCCTTGACTGCGACGATTATCTGGAATTCTGTGCCGACTGATGGAGCGTGAAGGCGTCAACGGTTCGACTTATCACGTACATTTAGCCTGCGCCTATATGTCCTGATGGCACGCCTTCCACAGGGTGTTTCTCTCATATGCACCGTTCCACGGCTTTTATACAGGCGGCAGGCTAGGGCACGCCACGACGCCGGCAGGAACGCAGTGCGGGCGGCGGCAGCACACGCACAGACATATCACCCCTTTCTTTTTTCGTCTATCGCTATTCTTTATCCTTTTCTCCTCCGCCTTCTCTCTTCACCCTAGGCAACTTTCTATTTTCTCGCTCGCGCTCTGCGCCGAAGCGACTACGTTTCCTATTTTCCGCCTCGCGCACGGTGTACGCATGTATTCTCTGTATCTTTTCTGGGTCTATTCTGGGGCATTGGAATGACATTTTTGAAAAATGCACGCGTATTTTTTCTGTTTTTTTTTTTATCTAGGACCACGGCTATAGTTTGATTACTTGTAATTGAGGACTGTGTATTGCTGAGATTGAAGAAATCGTTGACGTTTGCCTTATTTTGGTGCTGTGTGTTTTTTGATATTTTTATTAGTTATTTTATATGATTATTTTCGAGCGCGCATCGTCAATGGCCAAATGGTCTCCACCTTTTGTTTCCTTATGCGGCAAAAGATTACAAGCGTGTGATTTTATTGTGATTCAAGCATTATTATGTCATATATGAGAGTGATTTTACGGTCGACTTGCAATATTAGCTCATACTTATAACCGGATCGACTGTATAGAAAAACCTGGATTTCTCATCTGTAATACTACATCGATTGGCTTATTGTCAAATTATGTCCATACAATAGCTATCTAAGCTGTACTTGCCCAGCGTTTTGAGCTATTTATTGTACTGTTTTTATTCTATTCAGTGTTAACTCACTAGCTTTGATGATGGGGCGGCACTACCCGATCATGTTGAACTCTAATCGGTTAAGTCTCATGCTGATGTATGTGTTCACTACCATTAGGACGCGAGCACATGCGCTCAGTCGGGGCCTCTGCAATAATTACTCTTACACTCCTATGGTGCGCCAGTGCCTTACACGTGTTGGCATATTCTGTACTGCCTAGCATTACAATATGCCATGTATCTGAGTGTATATAGAAGGTGTGGGTTGTACATATACCATGTACATTAACGCGGGTTGCCACGGTGGCTGGGTCTAATTGCTAGTATAACATGTGAGTATTTGTAGCCGTTAACCAATATGACTTGGATCTTACTGTAGAGTTTAGCTCTAATGTATACACCATACACGGAGCCGTTCTTACTACTAGTCTCTGCGGGCAATGTATCTTGGCATCGTTTCTGCATGTATTTCCTTAAACTCGCAGCTTTGGCTTCGCTCTTGATCAACAAAGTGTACAATTCGCGATTAACATCGCTCTACAGCGAGCGCACTTATTACGGGGTCGTTTAGCGCGCCGTTCGTTACTGTATCCATCACCGTGGGCTCTCAGCGTGAGCAGCATCAACAACAGCAACAACAACAAAAACAACAACAACCGCAGCAAGAGCAGTAGCAGTCTGTGCGCCAAGACAGGTTGTATGTAGTAGACGCACAATTACTGCTCAAATATTTGCCACAGAAATCGCGATGCAGTTCGGTTCTTTGTGTGGCCTGTTTTCTCTCGTTTAGCGAGTACTGCCGTTCTGCCACTCACCTTTTTGAGCAGTGCCTCCACAGATGCGCGACGAATCTAGTCAATCATGCAGCACTTAGCGGTAAATTTCCCAACACGTTATTACATCGCTGATATATATCCGTCGCGAAAGGTTTCGCCCTCAGCTATGGTTTGTGCTGTGATCACAATACTTGATATCTCAGTCATGCCCCGACGCGCACATATTTGTGTTTATCTGTAAATCTGTGTGTATATTATTTTATGTATAATGTGTTATATGTCTCACATTCTTGTTTCGAGTATATTCTTGTCTTTCGTTGCACGAATTTCTTCGCGCCGAGACGGTCGAAGCGCATTCACAAGAAAATAATATGTTTCTGTTTCGTTTGCACACGTACGTCTCTCTTCTCCTTCCTTCGCGGTCAACCCGGAGACACTGCCTACAGAAATTATCGCCTGCTATAATATGCACGTGTCCATTCCCTACGTGATTGTCCTTTTCTCGTCGTTTCTGCTGAAATCTTTCGTAAGTATCCGATCTCTCGAATCGCGCGCGCTCTCGCTCTCTCAAAAAATGGTCGTCTGCTATAACAGGGCGCCGACTTCGCTGCAGCGTGCGTCTGCTACGATGCGGACGCGTGCGTCTGCGCGCCGGATCGTCTGCACACTCGGTTCGGCGCCGCACGTGTCATCGCCTGCCTTTTCTCCGTCGCGAGCTCGCTCGGTGAACTCATGTGCCGTCAGCGGCGCATGTCCTACTTCGTCGTGGCCCGTCTCTCCGGCTGCTGCTGGCCGCTGGGAGCGGCGGCGGCGGCGGCGGTGGCGGGGTGGCGCCGTCGTGCTTGGCCGCGCCTGCACGCGCGGCATTGTGACGGCGCGCGCTGCACGCACACGGCCGCGGCGGCGGGCAGGTGCCCCGCGAGTCAGCGACGCCGCCTGATTGGCTGCGGCTGCCCGAGACAACGAGCCAGTGAGAGAGGGAGTGAGAGTGGATTTAGGCAGTCAGATTGAGGGAGAGTTGTACATTTTTATGTATCTCCTTATATCATAAAAATGGTATATTATATATATATATATAATATAATATATATAGGTGACGTGCGCTGACGTCGTGTGCGTGCGTGCGTGCGTGCGTGCGTGCGTGCGTGCGCGTGTGTGGGTGTGTGTGTATGTATGGTTATAATATATATATATATATACTAGTATATGCTAGTGACAGCTTGGGCTTTGCTCTTGCAATTGCCGGCCATGAAGGAGACTCACGCACATCGGTGTGCCGCTGCATAGGCCACCTCAGACAGTTAGCTGTGCCAGGTTTCATCCACACCCTGTCGCATCAAGGCGACGCGCGCCATGGAGGACACAAAGGCTTATAACATATAATCAGGAGTGAATAATAATAGATCTATTATTATTCTGTGAAGAATAATAGATCTAGAATAATAGATGAATCTGTTATTATTCACTCCTGATACAATGACTAGATGGTTGTGTATACGCACAACGAGGCGAAGTCGTATCCGTGCCTTCAATGGTCGGTACCCGTTACTGTCGCGCTAGAGAGTATGCAGGTAGTAGGCCAGCATGGCTAATGAGGATGAGTTCAATAAACGAACCGGAGCTCGATGCATCTAAAGTTGTTTACTACCTACTCTGATGCTGTTCTGCTTCAGATGATAGATAGATGATAGATAGATAGATAGATAGATAGATAGATAGATAGATAGATAGATAGATAGATGATAGATAATAGGTTTATTGCAAAACTAGTGTTAACAACGTTACAATTAAAATAAATTTTGCAAACAAGATATCATCAGGCAGTATAAAACTGAAATTGATGATATTTACAATAAATGTCCCATGGTAAGACATAGATATTACTTAAAATGTTGGTTCGTAAAATTATATCACTAAACTAAAAACCATCTTTAGAATAATTATATACTAAATTTAAAATAACGTGATCTTTGGTCAAAAAATAGTTACAATTAAAATGCGACACAATGATAGAATCAAACATATCACATAACCGAAAGTTGTCCAGAGAGTTATTTCAAAGAGACTAAAATGTTTATAAGGGGGCGCAAGCAAAAGACTAATTATCCATGCTATTGTAAAAAATTCAGTGTCTGTTTACAATTTGTTAATCATCCTGCACATGTACGGAACAGGGCTATTGAAGTACCGGCTGGTACGAGGGACTTTTGCAAGCCGGAGTTTACTAGAATTCCGTGTTATGCGGTTAGACACATTTATTGCTGAAGGAGGGCATGAAAATATCCTGTAATCGTTTACAACTTTTGAGCTGATAAGCAACTTTTTCACAAAGCTGCTCGCGACGAAACGCAAGTCTTTGGATCTTGAGCTGAGATAGTACCTCATCGTACATGTCGTACCTATTCCAATTATTATAACCTATTATTATTTTCACTGCCCTTACTTGGAACAGATTCAATTAGACGCGAGAGCTCTTTGGTAAGGCCCGGGTGCCGGACGGGTGCAGCATATTCTAGAATCGGTCTGACGTAACCACAGTAAATTTGTACGAGACCTTTACAGCTAAGCCTAGATTTTTTTAGTATACGAAGCATGAACATTCTTTTACTGGCTCTAGCCACCAAATCTTGAACGTGTATGGCCCATTTAAGATCGTGCTGGAACCATACACCAGGATCTTCAAAGTTGTCGAATTTTCCAATTGAAAGTGCTCTAAAAAAGTTCAGCATCTTGAAGTCTATTTCTACCAAAGTACACCTGCATAACTTTACATTTTGCAGAGTTAAGTTTCATTTTATTTGAAAAGGCCCAGCACTGGATAGATGCGAGTACGTTGTTTAGATATGACGGAGCGTGGATCGACCTTGTCTCCAGTAGTGTCATATCGTCGACGTATTTCCATTTCTGAACTAATAGTCCTTCAGCAGCATCGTTGATCATGACCAAAAACAGTAGCGGGCCAAGCTTTGTGCCCTGGGGAACACCACATGTTAACCCCTGGTACGTGGAGGTAGACCCTTTGTACCGGACGCATTAATTGTTTCCTCATAGAGAGGAAATCGCTTATCCACGGGTAGTAGTGACGGTCTGACTCCTAATTTAAGGAGTTTTTTTTAGCAGTGTAGTGTGACATATCAGGTCAAATGCTTTGCTGAAGTCAGTCACGACTAGAGAGCTTATATTGTTGCGTTTTTCTGCTCCTCTGTACAGATAGTCCAATATGCTGATGAGGTAATGAAGACTTGGGTTGAAGACTTGGGTATGGAGCCAAACTGGCGTAAATCAATTTTATGCTGGATGTCGTCCATGATCCACGTGTAGACAAAGTTCTCTGCTATTTTAGCGAAAGTGCAGGTTAGAGAGATTGGCCTTAGCTCATCAATGGAAGGAGGGTACACTTTTGGTATAGGGAATACGATCGCCTGTTTCCAAGCTTGAGGTACACCGCCCTGCAGAAGAGACGCGTTGATTACATCAGCCAGGGGTGTCGCTAACTCAGCTGCGAATTCTTCAGCTGAGCATGGCACAGGCTTGGTAAACTTACCGCCTAGAGCAGAATAGATGAAACCCCTGTGGGCGTGCGCGGTCGTGACAGAGCGTTTGAAAATCTGAAAATTAACAGATGATAGGGTCATTAATTATTAGGATTATCACAGTAAAATCGTTCATCAACGACACTGAAGTGCCAATAACGTCATTCGGTAACAGCAGCGATTACTCACGGCCATGTTTACCTGAGTATATGCAGGCGCAAACGTGCAGAGTCAGAGCAATAAGGAAGATAAATTATTATTGCGTTCGAGTCAAACGTGGCGATGTCTCTGCTGATAGCAGGCTTCCATTAATCATAAAATTGCTGCTGTGCTGCTGCTGTTGTTATAATTGTTGTTGTTGTTGTTGCTGCTGCTGCTGTTGCTGTTGTTGTTGTTGTTGTTGTTGTTGTTGTTGTTGTTGTTGTTGTTGCTGCTGCTGCTGCTGAAATTTGCCCCGAATTACACAGATGAATCGTCTTCCTTAGTTACTGCAGTCGACACATCTGAATATACGACTCACTCGATAAAACGATAGCAAACTCCATGTACAAGATTTGAAATAATTTGTCAGTGCATACGTAAGAATGCGCGAATGGCCATCTCGTGACCTGAGACCTGCTCAATTTCTCTCTCTCTATTTCCTCGTCATCTCCTTCTCACCCGTTTACTCCCTCGCTGCGACTCACGCAATTACTCGTAATCGACTAGTTGATGATTACAAGCGTCGAGCAACCGGCGCGTACATTACCCTGTATACGTATCACCGAGACAACTATAGTGTATACGTAACTGCCATTGTCCCGCAGTTCGGTCGGCGTGCATCGGACGTGACGCCCCATTGTTGCGCGCTCAATATCTGTTTATCTCTCGGTCAACCGATATTGTTTCCGTGCTGCCGATGTGCATTGTTGAGCAGCTGTAAGCAGGTGTGCGGCCATTGTGCGTCATTGTTATCTAAAGCGTGTTGAGCGGGCTCGCGAATGCCATCAGAGCGATGGCTGTTGCCGCTGATTGCGTGCGCGAGGCGGGTTGGGTGGCGGCGCAACTTCAGAGAGTTCTAGCGTTGTCGTCTGCGAAGGCGTACCTGAGCACCTGAGCTGAACCTCTGTTCAGAAAACCCTGCTCACGCACTCTCTCTGCTCTTCCCTTGCCCTTTCCCTCCCTCCCATCTCTCGCACGCCTCTCTCTCTCTCTTTCTCTCTGTCTCTCTTTCTATCTCTGTCTCTCTCTCTCTCTCTCTCTCTCTCTCTCTCTCTCTGTCTGTCTCTCTTGTGCGCGTTCTCACCGTCTCTCTCCCCTTTCTAAATCCCCCCTCTCTCATCCTCACCCCCTTTCTCCCTCTTTCGCGTGCGTTGTGTGTGTGTCTCTCGTTCTATCTATCTATCTCTCTCTCTTTCTCCCTCACTTGTGTTCCACCTCTTTCGCCTCTCCCTGTCTCTGTTATAAACACTGTAAGTGTGTTAGGAGTTGTAGAATGCGTTCTATTTATGTTGCTATATATGTAGCCTTTACACAAGTTTGATATAATATGGTCACCGCGTTTAGTCATTGTTGATAATATGTATTACACGAAATACTTCACGCCCTGTGTGAGGCATTTCGTGTGGCGATAATAACACACGCAAACCGATTCTTATAGAGTAACTACACCATATGATACACCAACATCATTTCTTCAAGTTCCCCGAGTTTATATAGCTCAGTGGGAAGTGGTGGGACAGCCCAGTGTGAGGAACGAAATCCTGTTTTTAACTCGTGTGTGTTGGCACCATCCATCCACACTGTACATTCCTGTCCGCCACACTTGCCTTGTGCGCGTTTATTACTTTGCTATTGTGTGCGTGTGCAACTCTCCTGCCACTGAAAGTGATTTTTCACGAGTAGTGGGATAATAGCTGCGTAGTTGTGCCATCAACAGCTTAGAATTGTCATCTATAATGTCTAAGTTTTATTGCCGTGTCAGTTGTACCCGGGTCCTCCTATGTGTTAATGAGAACTCTGAAAGCTGCTGTGTGTAATATTAGAAGATTTTCCTACTGTACCAAAAAGGTTCTTAGGGTAATACATCCGTGGCAGTGCCTAAAATATTCACAAAGAGACTCGTCATTTGCCTGGAAGAGATGATTATCGATATGATTATCGTAAGAGTATACGTAGCAGGTATGTCGTATAGATTGAAACGATGGGAGATTTAATATCACGAGAAATTGATTCGACCGTCAGGGATAACAAGACGATTCCCCCCAAAATAATCAGGTAATCTTTGGCTTCACTGTTTTTTGACCCGTTCTCCTGTTTTCAGGTGGGCAGTGTCGGTGGTGATGACACGCCAAAACATGATCCCGTCTGCTGATACTTCTGGTCTCATTGCCGCGCTCATACCCATGTGGGACATGTGTAACCATATCAACGGCAAAGTATGCTATGATTACTATGTATATATTTTGTATTATATGTATATTACATGAAGCTTTAATAGAGCCGTATGCTTTAGCTACGCTAGGAACACGATAGCTGTGATATTCCAGAAAAACATTGATAAGCGCTTTAAATTTGCTATAAACGTATACTATGTTTACATTACTAGACCGTATGCTTTATAGCTACGTCAAGAATAGTTAGCTGTAACATTCCATAAAAACTGATAAACGCTTTAAATTTGCTATAAAAGTATGCTATGCTTAGATTAAG